ATGAATTTGTAAAGATATTTGAAAAGTCATATAGCTCCCTATGTAATGTGTATTGCTGCTGTGTTCTATCTGTCATCTATCTAAGAAGGTATCTACTGTACCCCGGGCTGGCCTTAAACTTGGTGTGTAGCTGATGATGACTTTGCAAATTCTGAGATCAGAGGTGTGCACTGCCACTCATGGTTTTTTTTTTTTTCTTGTTTTTTTGTTGTTGTTTTTGTTTTGGCTTTGTTGTTTTTGAAGACAGGGTCTCTCTACATAGCCCTGCCTGTCCTGTAACTCACTCTGTAGATCAGACTGGCCTCAAGCTCACAGAGATTCACCTACCTCTGTCTCCTAAGTGCTGGAACTAAAGGTGTGCACCACCATACTTGGCCTTTTAAGTTAAACAACAACAACAACAACAACAACAACAAAAACCCAAACCTGCCCAACTGGCTGGGCAGTGGTGGTACTTGCCTTTAGTTCCAACACCTGGGAGATTAGGTAGAGGACAGCTAGGACTACACAAAGAAACCCTGTCTGGGACCTCCCCTCCCCTGCCCCCCCCAAAACCAAACCAAAACAAAAAACCCAAAACCAACACTGCTAAACGATTCCTACTAGTAAAATAAAGAAGGGTAGCAGTGGGAAGTTTTTTTTTTTTTTAAAGAAACAAAAATAATTTTTAGAACCCTACAATGTATATGTATACATATGCACAAATATACAGCCAAATTAACATTTTTCATTCCTGCTGTACTTTGCTACCTCTATTTGAATTCCCTTTCAGTGTTTTTTAAGTTCAAAAGGTGTTTTTCATTGTCTGGTAATTTAGATGTATTAGTTATTCTCTATTTTTGTTATTTTTGAATGGCTTCACCCTTTTTTGGGGGAGGGGTGGAAGCATGGTGCTAGTGATAAAAACTAAGGTGTTAGTAGGTGCTAGGTAATGCATTTAGCAAAGACAGTCCTTAGTTCTCGCCTTCTTACTTTATCCTCCCATTAGAACTCTAAAAAGATTGTGTGTGTCCATGTCAGTCCATCCATCTCTGTGTGTGTGCACATGAGTGCAGGTGCTGACAGACCAGAAGCATTGGATCCCTTGGAGCTTGCACAATAGGCATTAATCAAATTCATGTCTTTTGGAATAGCAGCTTATGCTCTTAACCACTGAGCTAGCTTGCAGCCTTTTAATTTTTTCACGTTTGCATACAAAGTGTCATTATTTTTAATGAAATTTTTTTTTCTGATTATAGGCTTAGATCACTTAGAAATAGGAATGTGATGGTAGAGATATGGTTTGGATGTGTCTAATTTAAGAGTGCTCAGTGGGTGGATAAAAGCACTTGTCGTGCAAAGCTTCAGTTTAATCCTTGAACTATCATGAAAGTGGAAGGAGAGAACCTTGCCTTAGGAGAAATTGTGCAGGGGGTGGGTAGAGGGGGCAATAATAATGAATAAAAATGAAAAACAGAACAAAACAAAACCCACACTGAGAGACATCAGTGTGTTATCAGTAGAGAATGCAGACCAGAAGTGAGATCTGAAATGGTAAAAGAATCTCTGGACTATTCAGGTTGTTAGATGTGAAGTATGAATGAATGCGTATAGAATCACACAGCGAAAGAGGAAGACGTGAGAGTTGTCCGCTCCTTTTTATGTATAGCAGAAAACCCACGTCCAGAAAAAACCAGAGGAAGACCCTTTCTCACCTGTTTGAATAATTGAGATAGGGTCTTTGAATCCCTGGCTCTTTTCCCCCTCTCAAGTACTGGTATTGCAAATGTGATACTCCACTTTAAAACAACACCTTTTTGGGGTGTGGGGGGAGACAGGGTTTGTCTGTGTAGCACTGGCTGTCCTGGAACTAACTCTGTAGACCAGGCTGGCCTTGAACTCACAGAGATCCACCTGCCTTTGCCTCCCGAGTGCTGGGATTACAGGCGTGTGCCACCACTGCCCGGTTAAGACAAGCATTTTCAAAAGGAGGAGACTTTTGCTAGTATTGAATATCATAGAAAGGACAATAAAGATTAATAGAGGGTCATAGTTCAGCATACACAATCAATTTGGTTTGACAAAGGCATTGTGAGTTGATTAACTATGGAGTCAGGACAAATATCAAATTGGCATTTGTAGTGTGTTAAAAAGTGTGAGAGAAGCAGGCGAATCTCTTGAGTTTGAGGCCAGCCTGGTTTACACAGAGAATGCCTATTTTTGAGAGGTGGAGAGGGAGAGAAAGAGAAAGAAAATTGGGGGCAGGAGAGCAAAAAAAAAAAGGGGGGGGTGGGTAGGGTAACAGAAGAAACAGCAAGTTGTTTGGACAAGGAAAATCCCATTGAAGTGGCTGAGATTGGCGTTTACTACTATGTTGGGCATGAAGGTTCCAGAGATTGGAGGGTCCTATTGATTACCGCCCCCTCCCCTCAAGACAGGTATTATTTTCATGACTACAGCGTTATTTTAATAACTAAAATTCATTAATTGCTTAATTGTGTATTTAAGATTGAGAAACAAAATTGAATTATGTATATTAATGCCTATAATTTGGTTTTATTTTCTGCCTAAAATGCTAGCAATTTTTCTAAGCCCCCCCCCTTTTTATGTTCAGATATGTGTGATCACAGAATAATAACTGATGGTAACAATTTGTTTTTAGAGTCTTAGTGAATATTGAAGCTACACAAAAAGTCATGATAATGTTGATTTGGGGATACCAAATAATAGAAAAAAATTTTCTCTGAAAGCAAGTAGGTAGAGGGTAATGTTATTTTAAATTCTTTCAGGTTTTGGGGTTGAGGATTTAGCTCAGTGGTAGAGCGCTTGCTAGGCTCTGGGTTCGGTCCTCAGCTCTGGAAAAAAAAATTCAGGGTTTTAGTTCTATAATATTTACATATGAGTCCATGTACTCTTCAAATTTGGAATATATGAATGTTTATTTGTATTTTCTTACACACTAGTAATTAGAAATTGGCCATGTACCTTTCCAAACTAGTTTGCTATGCTAAAGCATTGTTAAATTGGGTGGAGCCTGTTACCACCTAACTTCATTGTGTTTGCAAGTAACTTTAGTCTGTAAAGAGTGTTGCTGTTAAGTCAACTTTTTTAAAGTTGCTGTAAAAGATGGTTTGTATTGTATACCTATTTTCAGATTAGCACTTTCACTTTATGATAAAGCATCATCACATTCCAAACCTTGTCCGTAACCAGTAAATTACTGGGTTCTTTTGTCACTTTGAGTATTTAACCCAGTTCTTTAATGGAAGTAGGAATTTAGAAGTAAGAACAGTAAAAGAAGAGAGGAGAGAGAGGGGGCCTTGTCAGAATTTTCCAGTTCCCTTCTTATTACCTGATGTCAAGCAAATTTGGTTGGTCATGCAGTTAATACCTCCACTCTCTAAACTAATAGCTATTTACTGATAGATTAGTCTCTTGTTTGCATTAGTTGTAAAAATATTTGATTGTGTTACTTGAATATGGCAACTGGCCAAATCGTCATAATTTTGTAGGCATGTCTTATCTGTGTGTACTCTTTGTATCACTGAATTTTGTCTTTTTTAGTTTCACTTGATATACAAAAATACTATTCTGTTCTTGCCGTTTTTGTTTGTTTGTTTGTTTTGCATTTTTCTCTGTTCTCTCCTTTATTGTGGTTTATGGTTTGTGGGAGTCATTCTCTCATGGCAGCAGGAGTTGGAGACAGGCTGATAATATTCCATGGACAGACAGGAAGCAGAGAGTGAACAGAGAATAAAGTAGAGTGGGTTGTGCCTCCTTCCCTCTTCCAGCAAGGCTTACCTCCCTAAGGTTCCATAGCCTTCCAAACAGTGCCACCAACTGGTGATTTAAGTGCTCAAACACATTCACGCTCAACATTCCATTCTGAATTCGGCACAGGCCCATAGCTATCTCATGATGCAAAATACATTTGTTTCACTTTCCAGAGTTCCCATAGTCTTTCACAGTCCTAACACTATTCAGAAATCCACTGTCTCTTCTGAAGTTCAAGGTAATCGCCCTTAAAATAAACAAGTTTCATACTTCAGTATATAATAGCACAGAGTAAACATTGCCATTTTAAGAGAGTGGAAATCAGACCAAAGCTAGTCCCAAACCATAAGGGCAGTCCTGGAACTCTCTTCAGCATCTGGGACTTAGGACACATGAGGACTCTAAAGGACTAGGTATTTCTAGTCTATTTCTAAGAATACCTTTGCTTACTTTTCCATGTTAGGATATCATTATTTTGTGTTGTTTCCTATAGCTTATTGTGCCTCCCAGCTCATGGATTTTCCGTCTTCTTTTTAAGGAGGCCCTTTTTCTTAAGGCCAGCCTGGTCAGCTAGGCTTCTAGGCCCATTAAGGGTACACACTGAGACCTTGTCTCAAGAGAAAGAAAGAACCTTCCCCCTTCCTTTTCTGATGACACACAAATCACTTTACTAAATAAAATTTTTTGTAATTGTTGAGAATTTTGATTGTGATTATATCATTCACATATATACATTAAGTAACCATTATAAATAACTTGTACTTAGTAGTCTTAATTTTTGAAATAGTTACTCTGTATTATTTTCCTCTTTTTTTCTTTTTGTATTTAACTACTTAACTTTATGAAAAGTCTAGGGAACTTAAAAATGTTTCACACTTGACAATTTTTCTTGTAGAAAAAAAAGAATGAAAATGTCTACATCAAATAGAGTGTAGTACAGAATTTTATATGTTAAAAATGCATCACATTTTTACTTGTTTATCTTGGGGTATATTATTGCTACTATTGCTATTACTATTGGAAAGCAGTAGTGTAGTAAGGAGGTGTAGTTCTTGAAGTCTTTCAGAAAAGTATGCCTTTTTTGGTAAAGCAGAAGGAAAGAGAATAACAATATGATTAATTTTATACATATTCAATAGCTTGGAAATAACTGCATGTATTCTTAACCATTTAAACTAGAAATAAGTTGATGTGCTACTGGTTTAAAGTTAAATTTAGGCTTAATAAATGTATTTAATTTATTTCAGTCATCATTGAATTTTGAGAAGCATTCTGAAAATTTTTCATGGACAGAAAATCGTTATGATGTGAGTCGTCGACGACACAACTCTTCAGATGGCTTTGATTCTGGTATTGGACGTCCTAACGGAGGTAAAATTTGCTAAGGAATGATAGAATTCATAATTTTTTTCATAATCTTTTTAGGATGTTTTGATTGCTATTCAGTCATTAAGTATAACTATCTTTGAATTTATATTACTTTACTGTTATCAAATAAAGGTAATTTTGGGAGGAAAGAAAAAAATGGATGGCGTACGCATGGCAGAAATGGTACAGAAAACATAAATCATCGAGGGGGATACCATGGTGGAAATTCCCGTTCTCGTAGCAGTCTTTTCCATTCTGGAAAAAGCCAAGGACTACATGAAAACAGCATCCCTGACAATGACACTGGGAGGAAAGAAGACAAGAGAGAACGCAGACAGTTTGAGGCTGAGGACTTTGTAAGTTTCTATAATTTTCATACAAATGATGTTTCTGCAAGTGCCATTTCAGTATCAAGGCACTCGTAGGTTTTTGTCGTTGTTCATTTTATATCAGCACAGGTAATTTTCTGTAGGGTCATTCTAACAGGTGTTTGTTCAGTTGTGGGTGTTTTGTATTGAGTCAGGGTTTCATGCTTCAGCTCAGGCTGAGTTGAACTCAAGCATGAGTCACTATGCCAAGTTCTATCTACTTTATTTTAAACTTCATATTTTATAAGGAATCACGCATTTTTTTATTACCTCTTAATTTTGTGTGTGTGTGCTTGTATGTATGTTAGTTCAGGCCACAGTATGTTTGTGGAGGTCAAGGTTAACTTGGCTTTTTGTTTTATTAAGACTGGGTCTCACTATGTAGTCCTGGACTTTGTGGAACTTGCCTTGTAGACCAGGCTGCCAGTTCCAGAGGATTAAAAGAGGGCAAGACTCATCCTGAGTGTGGGCTTGGGGGCCAAATGGAATAAAAGGAATTACCTCCTTTTTTTGTTTCCTGCTCCCATGATTTGAATTTTTCTGTTGCACAGTGACTTTCCCTAGTGAACTGAGCTTTCTGAAACCATGCACTAAAATAAATACTTCCCTCCTTTCTGTTAATTTTCTAGGGTATTTAGTCATACCCACTAATAAAATCAAAAAGATAAATACAATACCTTTACTGTGAAATTAATGAAAGTGTATAGTGTGGTAAACATTGTTCTTAGTACTAATGTTTTGAGATAGGGTCTTGCCATGTAGCTCTTGCTGCCCTAGAACTCACAGTGTAGACCAGACTGGCCTTGAGCACACAGTACCTGTCTCTACCTTCCAAGTGCTGAGATAGAAAGCATGAGCCACCTCACACAAGCCTCCAGAGGATAACATCAGGGATTTGGTTCTCTTCTTACAATGTGTGTACTTTGGGTTTGACAGCAGGCACCTTAACCTCCTGAGCCATCTCCCCTGGCCACTCTAAATGGAATTTTTTGGTCACTAACTCTGCTTTAAAATGGTTTCTTTCTTTCTCCCTTCTGACTCCTTCCAGAACCTTTTGGCATATTTATGTTGTTTTCATTCCTTATGAAAATTGAATACTTCCCCTTAGAACTAGAAGCCTCATGAGTTTAGTGGTTTATTTACAAGTACCTCATAATCTATCATTTTTGTACACATGCACGCACGCACGCACGCACGCACGCACGCAAGCAAGCACTCATGCACGCGGGGTCTTGAAAATGTATTTTGCTAATTGATCAATTGAGTTTTACTATTGCTGCCCAGGCTTGTCTGGAACTGATGGACTTATGTGATCCTCTTGGGTAAATGAAAGCAGAGTTTTCATCTTTTCTTGTTCCTTAATCTCAGTTTGTCTTCTTTGAATACCGTGCTTCTTAAGTTACAGAAAAATGACCCAGTAAACAGTTTTACTTTGGGTTTTGTTGTGTTTTTTGTTTTGAGTTAAGATCTTTTGTAGCCTAGGTTGGTCCCAGACTTACTCTGTGGCTGAGGATAGTCTTCTGATGTTTTTTTCTTCACTTTCCAAGTGCTGGGTTTACATAGGTGTACACTGTTGTGCTTGGCTCTGATTAATTTCTGATCATTTAAAATTCATATGTTGTGTAAGTAGAGAACCAGCACTTTTTTTTTTATTACTGTTTCTTGGTATATATTTGAGTGGTTGTATTAGTCTGTTGCTGTTGATGGCATGCAGAATATATAGATTAATTTGACAGGCAGAATCTGTGTTCTCATGGAGCTGTTCCTAGTGGGAAGACTCAGCATCAAATGAGAAAATAACTTGTAAACTGCAGAGAATTTGAAGATGAAGTGACTGAGTAGTAGATACTTTGGTGAGGGAAGTCGAGAGGCTTCTTTTGACCAAAAGGAACAAGTCTTGTCGCACTAAGAAATTGGGAGTGTGTGTAGCTCAGAGCTAGGATGTGGGCTGCTTTGTTAGTATAAGACAAAACCTGGGAGGAAGAAAGGATAAGTTTTAGTGTAAAAGATTTGAGTTTCTAAACTGTTCCAGTGGAAGATTAGTGAGAAACCAGTGACGCTTCGTTTGGGAGCTTTGATATCCAAAGGTAAGGTATTCGGGTATCTTTTGCCTTATTTCAGGTAGCTCTAGGGAAAGGATTTGACAGATTGGACTTAGGGCAGGAGACTGGTTACGGGAAATGAAGAGTAAATGATTTGTTTTAGGTATTATCAAGTAACATTGGACATTTCTGTACCTTACCATTTGAATGGTCTGTTTTTTCCACTAGATAATCACCAGATAATTTAACTTACATCATCAAACTGGGGATAATAGTGCATTAAATAATGTAGTGAATTAAACACACAGTAAGCACATTGTAAGCTCTTTTAAAAATAATGTTTTTTATTTGTAGGATTATAACAAAATTATATCATTTTCCTTTTTTCATCCTCCCATGTAAATTGCATTTTCTTTTTCACATACATGGCCTTTTTGTTATGAATGCATGAGGGGGGCAGGGAGGGAGGAGGGTTCCTAAATACATAAATACATCCTGTTCAATCTGCATGTTACAGTACATTTTATCCATTATTAAATGGTCAGCCCTGAACGTATACATAGTAAGCTCTTAATAAAGACTAATGGTTGCCTGAAGTGATGGCAGAGATGGACTGATCTCTGAGTTTGAGGCCAGACAGGGATACAAAGTGAGATTCTGTTTCACCCCTCCCCCCAAAAGCCTACCCCATTCTAATTGCTGCTTTCTTATTGTCCCTTACCTCCAGACCTAAGGTAGTGGTAATCAGTTATTGTAACTTTTTAGACCTGGAGTATAGACATAGTTTATAGTTAATGTATATATAAATGCATATGTATATAAATTATATATGCAAATAAACTGTACAGTTTATAGTATATTTAATACTATCATAATTAAGAAAAGGATATATAGCCACCAAATAAACTTAGTTTTATTTAGTTCTTTTCTGTGAGGAAATTACTTAATACAGGTAAACATATATGTTCTTATGGGGCTTTATAGTAATGTTAGTTCCATGCTAATAATAATTAATTTCTGTACATAAAGTATTTGTACTTAGATTCATTTTATTCATTATAAGTATTAAATGTCTTCCTTAAAGAAAGCAGGCTATGTTGCCAGGTAATATGAAAAGTAACCTGGTATACTGTGAAGTTACTCTAAAGAAACTGTTAAGTCTTAGGATTCTAGAGTCTAAACATCTACCAAGATTAGCTTTAGAGTGCCATTAATGCTCATATCTCTTTTGAATAATCCTAAGCACCCTTTGAAATAAATTTCACACTTTGCTTTGGGAATGTCTGTGTTGGTTTCTGTTTCTCTTGAGACCGGGCTTATCTATGCAAGTTGCAGAAACAGTTGACTAGCATTCAGTTCTATTTAGTTCTTTCTGTTGTTTCTTTGAGAAGGCTCTCATGTAGTCCAGTCTGTCCTCAGTAACTCATTATGTACTTGGGGTGGCGTTCTGAATTCTCTTGCCTCATCCTCCCAAGTGCTGAGAATGAGTGTGTTAACAGAAACACTCCATTGATACACAACATAATAGAATTGGTCAAGAGTGTAATTTTCATCTCTTTGGTTATAACTGTGTACTGCAGAAAGCATTATACTTCGGACTGGGGTTTTCCATTTGCTGCTGTCTCGCTCTGCTTTGAACTACTTAACAAAAGCCATTGTTTCCTATCCTTTCTAAGTAGCAGCTACTATAGGGGCCAGTAGACACCTTGGCTCTGTGGGGTTTTTGTCTTTTGGTGGGTAGTGTTATCATTGAACTCAGGGCCTGGCATGTGTGAGACCAGCACTTTGCCATTATGCTACATTTCCACCCTGTATCTATGTTCTCTACTTTAATCCAGATGTCTTCAGATAGTTAGATGAAGGTCAAGATTCTCTTTGTCTCCAATTGAGACAGTAAGAGAATATTGTGAGAATAAACAGTAGACATTTTGATGGTTAGCAGAGGAAATTGAAAGCAAAGTTTATGGAGAATTAGTATTATAACTAAGAGCTGACCGGACCATGTTCCTCAGTTATAAAAGATGTGTAACCATGTGATTGTTTTAAAGGACCTTTGCTATGTGAAACACTTACGTGCCTTGTTACATTTTTAAATTTAATTTTCTTTCAGCCATCTTTAAATCCTGAATATGAGAGAGAACCAAATCAGAATAAATCTTTAGCTGCGGGTGTATGGGGTAAGTAATGTTTTACCTATTTTTTTGAGGGACAGAATATATTGTATTTGTAGGTTGCCTTTTTAAAAAGTATAAAATAGGGTACTCTTTAATCACTGCATTTGATTTGCTAAGATACTGAAGTAATACCTTTAAAAGAAAGGAATTTGGGTGTAAATTTTATTTGAAATACTTAATTTACACATGCTAGTGACATTAAGTATTTGATCGTTTTTGAGAATGATTCCAGGTTAATGCAGTTTTGAGAGCAGTCTTGATAATCTCAAATTCAATATATAGTTTATATTTTTAGTTTTTTATCATTGAAATTTGTCTAACTGGGAAAATAAGTACTTGTAGTCATTGTAACATGAAATAACTCTTTATGTATGAAAATGGTTGTGTGTAGACTATTAAACTAATTGTATAGATTTTCCTTTGATTAGTCTATATTTGAAATTTGATTTTTAAGCTTACTGAGTTTCTGGTAAATAACTCCCTTTAAAACTGCTGAGTTGAATTTGATAAGATCTTACAGAAGAAACTGCACTCATAGTACAAATTAGAAAGCTTTTAAAAGATTTAAGTGAAGTTTAAAATAATGGAAAATTTATAAGATTTCTGAAAAATAAACTTGATACCAAATTAAAAGTGTTATCCATTTTAAAACTTGTACACATGTTCATTTGTAATTTTTTTAATTGAAAACCAACATCCTACTAAAACAAAAGGATTGTGGCTTATGGTAGCTTGCTAGTCCTAATAATAATGGCATTATTTTAAACTTTGCCACTTCCTGTGCTGGTCTTAATTGTATTTATGGGGGTGAAACTGGGGAATTATTTTGTTTTCTTTTGATCTCCCTTTTTATTTAATGGCTTTTGAGGGTGGGGGAGGGGGTGGTCAGACATTTTTGTTAGAACCATGTGAATGGCATTGTTTTTTCTGTATTGCAAATTAGTATTTCTACCACTCTCCCCAGGCCTACACGCCCAGACACACACATACCCAACCAAAAAAATCTCCCAAGCTCCTCTCTTAGGTATGTTTCCTTATTATTCAGTTTTTCTGGGAACAACTGATTGCATAAGAATATAGAATCTCCTGAAAAGTGTTAAATAGAATCTCTAAGAAATTAGGAATAATTTGGATTCTAGTGTAATGAAAGTACATTTTAAAAGTCAAGAATGTCAGCATTTGTCATACAAACTATAAGATACTAATGTGGTATGGTCCTTGGTTGACTTAATCTTAGAAATGATTTAAAGACAAAGACAGTTATGAAAACTAGACTAAAATGTATTAGTATAAAGATTTTGGTTCTGCTGTTTTCAGAGGTGATTTAAGGATTTTGAATACTAGTTGAAAAGATATTTAAATGGGAGGTAAACAATTTGTTTAGGTAAACTAAGATGTGTTTGCATTAAAAACAAAACAAAAGGTTAATTGTGGAATGGTTAATTGTTAAATTCGAGTACTTCCCATAGAAATACAATGAAACTGTTCATTGTATCATACTTCACTATTCCTTTCTCATTTTACCCCCTGGGTTCCCAAGTATGCTTTTCCTCATAGCAACACTTAGAATAGCTATCTATGTTCCTGAGGAAGATGAGAGGATTTTAGCAAAGACTTCAGTAGAACTTTTCTAGTGATACTTCCAGGTAAGCAAAAATTTACTAACAAAAATTTAGTATGTATAAAAAGAAAAATAGTTTATTTCCCAGACTGTTGACTTTGTCAATCATACATGGGCCTATTCATAACATAATACTCCAATTTAAAAAAATGGCTTGAGGGAAATTAATTAAGCCATTTAAAATAAAGTCATTACCTAAGTTTATTTTTACTTAGGATTTAGCTGGCTTTATTGGTAACACCTTCCAACCTTTATATATCTAGGACTTCAATACTATTTTTGTCTTAACCAGGATCACAGCTATTTGGTACAAAAGATTAATGACTATTAAGAAATCTCTGTGTTTTTTTTTTTTTTTTTTTTTTTTTTTGGTTTTTTGAGACAGGGTTTCTCTGTGTAGCTTTGCGCCTTTCCTGGAACTCACTTGGTAGCCCAGGCTGGCCTCGAACTCACAAAGATCCGCCTGGCTCTGCCTCCCGAGTGCTGGGATTAAAGGCGTGCGCCACCACCGCCCGGCGAAATCTCTGTGTTTTTAATAACATAATGCTAAAATAGCAATTCAAGATACTTGGCAGTGAGTAACTGAGAATTTTAAAATAATTGTTATTTTTTTTTTTTTTTTAATTTGGAGGTTGAGGAACAAAGAGAAGGAAAGATGAGTGTTTATGTATGTGTAAGAAATCAAGGCCACAGTGGCTATCGATAGTCTTGGAAATTTTCAGAAGTACTAATAGACTATGCTATATGGATACCACCAAGGTTATTGTAACAGTCAGTGCTTAAGATATAAAGTTATTCAAGAATAATGTTTTAATTACTGTAATTTTCTGGTCAGCATTTATATTTGTCTGTATTTGATGATATGATAACCTGGTTTTTGCTCATAGCTGATATAGTGCCTTTTAGTATAAGGTACATTATTAAGATATTTTTGTTTACCTTCTAAACCAAAGCATGTTAGTGACCAGTCCCCCACTCAACCTCCTCCCCCAATTTTTTTGTTAGCTACAGAATTGTAACTTAGCTAGCTTGAACCATACAGGTTGAGAAATGAAATTATACTAAATGAAGTATAATGTATTGAAAGCCAGTAAAGTCTTTGAGAAACTAGATTAAGAATTTTTTTGGTGGATTGTTTTGCTTGAGTATTGAAATACATTCCTTTACTATCTGTCTTGTGTAAAAACAGTAAAAAAAGTTACCATCATAAGGGGAAGGCAGCCCCTTTTTAAGACTGAGTAGGATAAATTAATGGAGTATGAGTAGACAGTTTGAGGAAAATAAATCTTTAGTCAGGAACATGACTTGCTTAGGTGGGTGTGGTGGTGCACACTTATAATTCCTAATACTCAGGAAACACAGATAGAAAGAAGGATTAAAATTTTAAAAGGAGAGACATTGCGGTTGCTTATCATAGGAGTTGTTTATATTTGCAAAGCCCTTCCCTCCCACCTCCCCCATCCACCTTGAGGCAGGGTCTTAATGAGCTTGAATTCTGACCTTCCTGCCTGTATTTGCCATTACATATGGCTTGGTAAAGTATCTTTAAACCTGTTCTGTATATGAATAAAGCAGGAGACCTCATAAAAGAAAGGCACTGTGTCTGTTGATACTAATGTAAAATTAACAGTGGTAACTTGATTAAAGCATCTGTAGATCAAAACACATTTGTTAAATAACATTCAAACAGCAAAATACAGTGTCTGTTTTTTTAGAAATAATTTTTAGCAGATTGTTTTTCTCTGTAAAAATAAGTGTTCACGATAGGAAATTGGGTAACTGAAAACTATAATGAAAAACAGAAAAGAAGATTGAATCAGTGAATTGAAGTGTTGAAGCTCTGTATTCAGGTTGTCCTCAAATGTTCAATCTTCCAATTTTAGCTACCTGAATACTTTTTATTATTTGTAGCAATATTCTAATTTTTCTCAAAAGCCAGTTTTCACGCTACCAGAGACCTTGATTTAAGAAATTGAAGAGCTAATTCTTGAATTGGTAGGTAGAAGGGAGGGCACCCATGACAAGACAACAATAAAAGGCACTTAGTGTAAGATAAGTTATTTAGGGAGCTAGGAGGAAATACTATGAAAAGTGAAAACACTTACCTTTAGAGTGCTTGAATGGAGTTCATTAACAGTTGACAAAGATCTAAGATAGTATGTGAATCTAAAACTTACATACTCACGAAGATGTGTAAGAATTGAGAAATACTCTAAAGAGACAAATAATAAAACAGTGTAATGTAAGTTAAGTGTACAAAGTAGTTTCCCCGTCACTACTTCTTTACTTACAGGTCATTATTGCAGTAAGAGCACCCCTCTCTCTGTGGGACTATCTGACACAGGGTCTTACTTTGTAGCCCAGGTTTGGACCAAACTTGGCTACCAAGGCCAGAAGAGAATGTTGGGTTTCTTGCTTTGCCATTATTTGTTAATTATTATTTAAACATTATTTGTTGGAGATGGGTTATCTCCCTGAACCTGGCAGTCAGTAAGAACTTGTGGTCCTCCTATCTCTGCTCCCCACAATCATGGAATTTCAGGAACACGTGGGGCCACACCAGCTTTCATGTGGGTGTTCAGGGTTTGAACTTTGGTCTTTATGATCGCACAGTGAGCACTCTGACCCCTGAGCCATCTCTCCAATCCCTAAGAAAACTTCCATAAAAAATCGCATTTATTTATTTTGTGGTTGCGTGTTTACAAATGGCAGTGGCATGTGTGTAGGGATCAGAGGACAACTTGTGGAAGTCACTTCTCTTTTAAACATGTGGATCCTTGGGGATTGAGCTCAGTTTGTCAGGTGTGGTGACAAGTGTCCTTTCCTGCTGAGCCATCTCACTGGCCTCAAAATTTTCTTAACTGAGCAACTTCTGTATAGTTTATTCAGAATAGCTTTATAGGATATAGATGTCTTTACATGTTTCTCTTATTTTTTCTTTTTTCTTCTCTTACATGTTATTGTTAAGTTCTAGGAAAAGTGTACTTTTTTGAGTTGTTACTGTGTTGAAAATAGCATATGCCTTTTCTGTGTATTTTGTATAAGTTAAATATCAAAAATTCCTAATTATGAGAGAAGTCTGCATCTTAATAAGTGAAAGACCAACTTCTATAAAGTTGTATAATAAATAAGGTTAGAGCTACTTGGAAGTTAGTATTAGAGTTTGATAATCATGTACAAAAATCCCATTTTTCTGCATCATGATACTTTAAATGCTTAGAGCATAACACAGTATTTGATTCTCTTCCTTCTAATTCCCTATCATCTTTCATCTGGTACTTTTGTGATCTTACTTTTGCTGCTTATTCTTCTGAGAGTGATTTCTTAGGCTTCACCTTTCTCCTTTTAGGGCATTCCATCATTCTTTACACTGAGGACCTCATTGAAGAAACAGCCAGACTCTTTCTTGCTTCAAGGAATCCAATTTTAGGAAAGGTGAAATTTGTAGTCAGAATCAACTTGAGGCTCAAAGAAACAAACAACTTATCAATCTACTTTCTGTCTTCTCTGCCTCATCCTGTTCTTATTCCACACCCCCTTTTCCAGTTAGGGGTCTGAGTATGTAATGCAGGCTGATGTGGACCTTCTCAAATCCTGGGTTTTCAGGCACGCACCACCAAACATATCTTGTTTCTACTTTTAAAAATCAGTGATTAATATATTAAATTGTATTTCTTCATATGTCTTCAGCTTGTGTCAAACCCATTTTCTTGGTGTTTAAACACATAGACTAGGTTGTGAATTATATAATTTTGCTTGGAAAAATTCTTTTCTTCTGCCATATCTTGGTATTTTCATTTTACGTCATTGCTTCCGAGAGTCTGTAGGGCAGATTTAATCATTCTCAGCTATTGTATTTCTCTGTGCATATTCTAAACTGAAACTCTCCCTTCACGTCTCCATCTAGCAGTGTGTATAGGAGTGTATCAGTCCTCTGCTGACAACTCCCACACAGTCGATCTGTCTTCCTTCCCCATTACAGGAACTTTTTTCTTTTTGTTTTTCGAGACAGGGTTTCTCTGTGACAGTCCTAGCTGCCCTGAACTCGCTCTGTAGACCAGGCTGGCCTGGAACCCACAGAGATCTGCCTGTGTCTGCCTCCCAAGTGTTGGGATTAAAGGTGTGCGCCACCACTGCCCAGCCCATTACAGTAACTTAACATAGAAGAATCTATGAGGGAAGGAAGATGAACTTAGTTGCCTAGCCATATTGAAGTCATTAGTCATATTTAATTGTGGTATACTGTTTCAAAGCCTGATGTCTGCGATGATACCTTTAAAATTACCTTTTGTATTTTGTAAACATCAGTTATGCCTCACATTCCTTGCTGTTATTTAAAGGCTAAGATAATTGTCTTATATTTAATTTTAACACCCTCCATCCCCTTTTGTAAATCTGAATCCTAACCACTGGACTATCGGGGATTCTCCTCCCCCTGTTGTGAGATGAGATCATACTATGTTCCTGTAGACGTGTTTTTTTTTTTTTTTTTTCCCTTTTCTCTCCCCGAGATAGGGTTTCTCTGTGTAGCTTTGGAGCCTTTCTTGGAACTCACTCTATAGCCCAGGCTGGCCTCAAACTCACAGAGATCTGCTTGCCTCTGCCTCCCGAGTGCTGGGATTAAAGGCGTGCACCACCACCACCACCACCACCACCCAGCCATGAAGACATTTTTGGTCCTCTTAGGCACAAGTAATCTCTTATCTCCTTTTTTTAAGTGCTAGACAGCATAGGTGCTATCATGACCGTCTTCAAAGAATCTTTTTGTTAGGAGGAATCGAGCAGGTCTCAGTTTTAGCACAGGCCGGCCTCAGACTCACTATCCTCCTGCCTTGGCTGCCATATCCTTGGGTTTTTATTAATTTTTATTATATTTTCATTAAAAACCACTAACAGTAGAGTGGTGTCCTTCATTGTTCTCTAGTTGAGATCTTCACCCCTATTTTTGGTTTCCTTGACTTCATTGTATAATAAAATCTTCAGTAAAATTATACATTGGTGACATACTTTGTTCTTGTGTGCTTGAAATTTCTTTCTTTTTTTTTTTTATTTTAAAGCTATTAGGCCTTTTAGATACCAATATATAGGATATTTTCCCTAGTAATTCAACATGTATTTAATTTTTGGTATGGTAACCCTGTTTTCATTTTGTTCTAAGTTCTCATTCTTTATCTGTCAGCATGGCAGTAGATGATAAATATGTTTTATCTTTTGGAGAGTTTGAAGTACTCATAGTGTCGGGTCCATGCACCCCCCCCCCTTCCCCCCGTAGTTTTGGTACCTGTCCTGGATCTTGCTCTGTAGACCAGGCTGGCCTGGAACTCACAGAGATCTGCCTGGCTCTGCCTCTTAAGTGCTGGGCTTAAAGGCGTCCTCCACCCGGCTCATAGTTTTAAGATGATCCAGTAGGAAGTTGGTAGTTTGGAGCCAGGGTACCAGCACAAGCATCTACCCATCTTCCCAGTTAATAAAGTATGCCATTTATATCCTGAGCTAATTTAAATTTAGAATTTTTCAGAGATTTTGATCTGAGTTAGCTATTGTAAAATTTCTAATTATGAAACTGATACTTTCAGAACTTTTTGTAAGGGATGAAGGATATACTTCTTTGTGACAATGATAGGTATGTGTAATAACTGTTTGATTATACATACAACCTGATTAAATTCCGGGGAAAATGTTGCATATTCCCAGCAAGTACAGTAATCTTAAAAAGTCTTCATTTAGCAGTTATTCCCAGTACTGACTTCAGAACACTGACTTTACATGATGCCTAAAGTTACATTAATATGGACTGTAAATATTTGAATAAATTGACATTATGAGATAATTTTTATTTTTATCTAATAGTTGGATCTAATAGACATTTAGAAGTATTGGGATTGTGGGTCCTCACTCATTGATTATTAATTTGTTAGTATATTGAAAGGATTGAAAAAAGATAGGAAATTTTGACTTTTTAATACTGGCTTAAGGGGAAACTAGAACTGTCACATTAAAATGAAAATTTTTTAGGTTTTTTTTTTAAATAAGTGAAGAATGTAAAGATATTAATTCTTGTTTTCCAATTACATCTTAGCCTGCGTTCTTCTGTATTAGTAGGCATTGCCCAAACTCTTATGTTTCATAAGGTTATGCTTAAGCTGGAATTTGACATTACTCACTTAGATTATTTTGCCCCAAACCAGCTGGTATTATTTTTTATAATGCAGTTAAGGTTTTGATGGAATCATTGACTCTAAAATTTGAAATTGTGTATAACACATGCTTGTGCTTTATTTATGCAGAATATCCCCCGAATCCTAAATCTAGAGCTCCAAGAATGCTGGTCATTAAGAAAGGTAATACAAAAGACTTACAGCTATCTGGATTCCCAGTAGCAGGAAACCTTCCGTCACAGCCAGTTAAGAATGGAACTGGTCCGAGTGTTTATAAAGGCTTAGTCCCCAAACCTGCTGTTCCACCTACAAAAGTAAGTCCTGCGCTTAAGCCAAGTTTGGTATGGATAGATGTCCCATTTGTGAAGTGGCACTCCAAACTCAGTTATTCTCTGCACTTTGACCAGTTGCTGGTTTTTTGTAGTAGTCTCCATCTGCTGTAAAAAGAAGCTTCATATACATATAAACTATTTTACTTTAGGAGCAGAGAGAATTAAATTTTTATAATTTCTGCTCTACTGGATGAACTAGGGTTTATTTGCTTGGTACATGTATTATACTGTTTACTTGGTACTCAGTTTTAAGTTTTTAAAATGCTCATGAGTTATTATAAGACAAAAAAGAAATCTCTTAACTTAAAGAATTTTGAAAATAAGAGTGGTTTAGATAAAAAATGACTGTATTAGTTTAAAAATCACATTATTTTGTGTGTAGTTGTGTGCGCGCACATGTGCTACAATGCACAGGTGGAGGTTAGAGAACAACTTCTCATCTTGCGTTTTTGAGACAGGGTCTTTATGAAACTCTGGCTGGCTTAGACTCACTGTGTAGAGCAGCCTGGCCTCAAATTTACAGAGATCCACTTGTTTCCGCCTCCAGAGTGCCGGGATTAAAAGCAGCACACCTGAGTTCCCTTTATTATTTTAAATCACGTGTGTGAGTATGTGTGTGTGTGTCTATCTGCAGGTGCCTTAAGAGGTCAGAGGTTTGTTGGTTTGTTTTGTTTTTGGTTTTTCGAGACAGGTTTTCTCTGTGTAGCTTTGCGCCTTTCCTGGGACTCACAGAGATCAGCCTGGCTCTACCTCCCGAGTGCTGGGATTAAAGGCGTGCGCCACCACCGCCCAGCGGTGTCAGAGGTTTTTCAGGTGATTGATTGTAAGCCATCTGACTTTGGTGTTGGGAGCTGAACTTGGATTGTCTGCAAGAGCTGCTGAGCTATCTCTTAGGCCAAATTTAGATGTCTTTATTGTATATTAAACCTCTTTTATTTGTAGAAAAAGATGGAGCCATATGCTGGGGTTCCCACCTGTAATCCTAGCACTGAAGGGCCTGATAAGGAGAATAGTGACTTCTAGGTTAACTCCTGGGCTGAATAGATAGATATTGTCTCTATAAAACCACAACAAAAAACCAGTAATAAAATGAAAGTCAGGAACGTCAAAGAACCATGGAGAGATGGTGAAAGTAGTATAAGAGAACTTCTGTGAGCCATATGTGATCATTGTTCCGTGTGTTCACTTTTTCTCTGTTTTCATGAATTTGTTTTTGGTAACTATAGATTCTTGTGTTTTTCTTTAGCCTACACAATGGAAAAGCCAAACTAAAGAAAACAAAGTTGGGACTTCTTTTCCTCATGAATCTACATATGGTGTTGGCAACTTTAATACTTTCAAGTCAACCGCCAAGAGTATTAGTCCATCAACAAATTCAGTGAAAGAGGTAGGCCACTGACCATTTCTTGAGAAATGTAATCTCCCCTCCCCACACTCAAGACAGGGTTTCACTTGCGTAGCCTTGGCTGTTCTGGAACTCACAGAGATCCCCTTGCCTCTGCCCTCCAAGTGCTGGAATTAAAGGTGTGTGTCACCACCTCCTGGCTGAGGATGGTACTGTATTTAAAAGTAAAGACCAGGCAGGGTATTGCTGTGTGGCCCAGGTTAGTTTGGAGCCTCTTTTCATAAATGACCATTCTTCCTTAGTTAGCTCCGGACATAGGTTGTGCTGTGAAGCCCACTTGCTAAATCCTGATAGTTTAACAATTTATTAAATGTATAGACTTATTAAAGGTGAGATGCTTTAATTTTTTTCAGTGAATTTAGTTCAGACACGTGTTAAAATAATTGCAGTTTATTTGATGCTTGTGGGAGTTTCACTGTAGAATTAAATCTTGGCTATGAACGAGAATTTGTACAATTTCGTTTTGGGAGTGATGGATATTTTATTAGTAGTAACAATAAATTAAGAGAAGAAAGAAAAGTATATATGAGTATGTGGTACCTCAAGTAGTTTTATTTTTTTGAAAACCAGAGTAGGGAGTTCCTTGACTAATCTAGGATCAAAGACACCTCTGCTGGTTGGAGTCTTGGACCAAAAGTTGTTTTAGGTCCCATTTTGGAATATCAAAACCATATATAATTTATGTCCTCATCTGTAGAATTATCACGTTAAAATAGGACCAGTGTTTCTAACTGGTTTATTGTTCTTTAATTCTAATACATACTTCAATTTCAGCAATTAAGCCTTATGATTTATTTCTGTGGACTAAAAAATTGCTGTCACATAGTTTAACATTCAGATGTTTGTGTTCTGCTTAAACATCAAGAGAAAACAAAATGAAAAGTCACTATTTTCTCCCCCTCTCTTCCTCTCACAGAAATCTCTGGGGAAATCCAATGTAATGACATCCTATTGCATAAATGATTATAAAGTCTTATTGGAGGTGTTTCAGAACCCTAGCACTCTCTCTGTAGCATGGCCAGAAAAATGGCTTTTTATGTGCTGTGTAAATATTTTAAAGTCAATAAATTCCTGATTTTATGTATTTAAGTTTTATGTTTTAAGTTCTGTTTGTTATCTGACCTTTATTATATCTGAAATAAGAAAGTTCTTGAGCTAACCCTTTTAGATAACAGTTTACTGTGATCTATACCTTGAAATCAGTTTCACCTTACAAATAAGTGTATGATAAAAAGCTGTGATAATTGTGCACTTTATTTTTACATTGAGTATCTAGTTACATGTTTACTAGTATTTCTGCATTTCCCATTAGTGTAATCGTTCAAATTCTTCCTCGCCTGTTGACAAACTTAATCAGCAGCCTCGTTTAACTAAACTGACACGAATGCGCAGTGATAAGAAGAGTGAGTTTTTGAAAGCATTGAAAAGGGACAGAGTAGAAGAGGAACATGAAGATGAGAGCCATGCTGGCTCAGAGAAGGTAATTGAAATTGCAGTGACTCTTCATCTGACAGGAACGTACTTTTAAACTATGTGGATAAATATTTAGAACCTTGATAACTCCAGTTAAAACTTGGTCTTTTTTTCCCCCTCCTAAGCCCATGCCAGCAGGGTCCTGTCTTCTTTGGGGGAATATTTGAGGGTCTTATATAGCCCAGACTGATCTTTAACTCTGTGTAGTTGAGGCTAACCTTGAACTTCTTATTCTCCTGCCCCCGCCTCTGGAAAGCTGGGCACCTACACACCTGGTTTGGGCAGAAGCATTTGTGATGGCGCCTAACACTGATGCTAGAGTCCAGGTTGGCTCTGCACATTGTTTCAGATGTGCTTGACTTGGTTGTCAGTGCTGTTCTGTGTAGTCACTGAATACCTTCGCAGGATTGGAAATGGGCTCTGCTTTCTTTGCTTGATTCAGTTTTGAGAAGCCCTAGCAGGAAATGGAAAAGGCAGTTAGTGAGATCAGAGCCTCTAATCCCCTGGTTCCCTTCCTGTGTGCATCTTCAACAGATCACTTCCTTGACTCCCTCCCTAATGATGATCTCCGTGGTGTCTTCCCCTTTCTCTTAGACCTATTGTCTGGCCTCCATCCTTAGGAGGGGTGCTTCTATCCACACAGTTGTAAATAAGCCTTCAATAAACCTATTTTGAAATTGTAGTAAAAAAAATTTCATCTCCCTGTTAAGAAAGCTAGTTAGCTTTTTTTCCTGAAACTTCTCATTTTGTATTTTTCTATGCAAAAATACATGGATTTTGTTATTTATTTATTTATATTTATATTTATATTTATATTTATATTTATATTTATATTTATATTTACATTTATATTTATATTTATATTTTTTGGAGACAGGGTCTTAAGTAAGTAGTCTAGGCTGACATGTAATTTATGATCCTTTGCCTTAGCTTCCCAGTCAGATGCTGAAATTACAGGTGTGCATGACCATGCCTGGACACAAATCTATCCTTTTTTAAAAATCCTTTTATCTTGGCACTGTGGTACATGCCTGTAATTCCAGTACTCTGTAGACTGGAACAGGAGGATTGATGCAAGACGGAGTCCAGCAGGGACTACACACTAAGTACCAGCTGCATAATTACTGCTGTTTCTTTTCCTTCATCGTTACCTTTTTGGCCTTAGGTATTTTGTGAGAATACTTTTGAAATTTAATGATGAGTAATTTAGATTTATGTATTTTTCATGAGAGTCTAGATAGGTTCTTTTAGTTGTTCTTTAGAACTCACTCTTTATATTTTAAACTCTCTGAAATTCAGGATGACGACTCATTTAATTTGCATAACAGCAATAGTACTCACCAAGAAAGAGATATAAACAGAAACTTTGATGAAAATGAAATTCCACAAGAGAATGGCAATGCTTCGGTGATTTCTCAACAGATCATTCGTTCTTCAACCTTTCCACAAACTGATGTTCTTTCCAGTTCACTTGAGGCAGAACACAGGTTAGTAATTATTTCTACCTTTTAGCCACCATAATCTCTGTTCAAGATTTTACCAAGTTTAAGTGATTGATGGCTTCTTGATGGGTACTGGATCTAGGTTCTCACTTGTTACTTTACATGTGCTATAGTCTTAACCCTGAATTTATTTCTTTTTCTTTTGTTACTGGATCTTACTATATAACCTTGGCCAGCCTGGAATTTAGTAGGTAGGCCAGGCTGGCCTTGAACTATGCCTGGCACTGCCTCTTGAGTGCTGGGATTAAAGGAATGTGCTACCACACCTAACCCTAATTTGTTTGCTTTTTAACATGTTTATTAAAAATAAGATTGACTTGCTTTTAAATGGGCAGATGATTTTTATTGAATTTACAGTTGTGTTTCCCTTGTGGTTTAATCATTTCACCCTGACTTACATAATCATTGATTTGTTTTCTATATGGAGTTTAGGATTGTATCTCCGCTCTTTCATGCTGGCTTTGATTAAGCCTATTTTCATTCCTGTATTAGAGTATAGTATGCCAGTACTTTGTTCTTTTTTTATTGCTCAGTAGTATATTGTATGGCTGCATGACTTTATATTCATTTTTAAGATTCATTTTATATGTTTAAGTATTTGCTTACATTTATGTCTGTACCACCACATGTATACCTGGTATTTATGGAGGCCAGAAGAGGGCATCAGATACCTGGAATTGGAGTTACAGATGGTTGTGAGCTGCCATGTAGATACTGGGAATCGAGCCCTGGTTTTCTGAAAGAGTATCTAGTGGTCTCAACTGCTTAACGTCTTTCTTTTTCCCCACTTCTTAAGTATTACAAGTAATGCCTTTACAAGCATTCATGTATAAGATGTTTTGTTTGTTTTGTTTTTGTGAACATTAAGAAAAGGTTTCTTTAGGGCTTTTGCCTAAATTAATGAGATAGATTTATGTAGAGAAATGAAAATAATGACTGGTGCACGGTGAGGTATATGAACTATATTCATAAGAAGATAATGATGGGAGATTGAAAATGAGAATCTATGTAAAAGCTACTAATAGCAGAATTGCACATCCTGTATAACACTAGGTAGAAATTTATAAAAACCAAGCACATCCAACTATATTAATTTGGAGCAGTCTCTACATGGGTGCAAGTTACATGTTAGTAATACTGTATTGGGTATTATCCTAGTATGTAAAGGGAAAATGAAACGTGCCCATTTGAATTAATGAAAACTTATATTTGTATGAACCTGTGTGCACATACAGAAATGAACAAATGTATATATACATTGGCAGTTTCTTTTTAAAAGATTATATGTACTTGTATGTTTTTGATTGACTATTTCTGTCTCACAGAGGAGCCAAGACAGATGTTGATTATTCAGTGTCTCAAAATCAGTAAATTGTGTAGTTAACATTTAAATTTAGGAAATCTAATCCTAGAACAAATAAATTATGGTTATTCTTAACCTCCTTTTGTTTGTGGGGGAGTTGGGGATTGAACCTGTCCTGCTAGACAAGCTTTCAACCACTGAGTCCTATACCTTAAGCCCATAAAACATTCTTTTCTCTAAGCTTACAAAGTTACATTTAGATTTCTTTTAGTTTACTTGTAGACTTCAGGTTTAATTTCTTTATGAAAATGTGATTTCATATGTGAAAAAAGATATCATAGCTTTGGTTTTCACTTAACTTTATTTGCAGTTCATAAGTACATATAACTTATAGTGGATGTATAAGTACATATGCTTATAGTGGATGCATTTACCAGTAATGAACAATAGTTTCTAGAGATAATTCTTTTGTATTAAATAATCATGTATTAAATAATCCAGCTGGAGAGTTAAGAATACTTGTTCCCTTCTCCATTTCTTTTAGTTTTGTTGATTGAGCACAGGGCATCACAAATGTTTTTCCATTCTTATAAGTAAAAGAAGGAAAAATGGTCATAGCAAAAGCAGTAAGTTCTATTAGTCTTAGTTTATGAGCTTTGGATTAGGTGATATTGAATGATTAGGTTAAGTAGAAATGCCATTTTTAAGGGCAGCCATCTATGTTATAGTCAAGACAGTGTATCAGAAAAGAGGTGAATAGAAATCAAAGAAATAATTAATGCTGACTCGACTGTATTGGTTTTGAGGCAATAGTTCAGTGTGGAACATACTAATTCTGGAGGCAGAATACTAAAATTCTTTTTCTTTGCTGTGAAGTAAGCAAATTGTACTTAAGTGACCCTAATTCTTTTTTTGTAAAATATGAGTAGCATGTTAGATACTATTCATATCTCTTGAGTACTAATATATTCTTTGAGACTTTGAAAAAATGTGTGAAATTGATAACACCATGATATGTAATAGATACAAGTTGAAAGATGTCCAAATAGAAATAACAAATATTTAAGGAGTACAATTAAAAATACCTTTTTAAGTGTCCTTAAAAAACACAGAAGCTTCACAGTTACTGCTTTATGTGCAGCACGCTTGTCCAACAAATCAAAATGGCTAGTTCTCTGTTAGTCTTTTCTTAGCTCTGTTATCCTAAAAATGGAAGTATTTTCTTTAAAAAAAACATTGAAAAGTGTAAACTTTTATTTTTCATTATATAGTTCCAGATTGATAACTTTGAAAAATAATTTTTCTGTTATTGTCGAACATAATCCCTCTTTTTAGAATGAATTGTGTACTGAGGATAGTGAATGTCATACACCCAAGACATTGGTAGAAGATAAATTGTAAAATGCAAGATAGGGCATGCTTCTGCAGCCTTTCTTTTCCAAGTAGAAAATCTAATGAGCAGTTGAGAATATGTTGGATTGTGGTGGTATTGAAAAAGAAAAAATGGCGTTATCATTAAATAGTACAAGGGTTTGCCATTTTTTATTTTTGACTCTCCTACTGGAAGTTTCCAGCATAGAGAACCTTGACCCTGAAGATTAAGCAGTCAAGCAATTCATTCTTATTTACTACTAAATATGGTTTGCTTGCTCAATTACTCATTTTTAAGAAAATAAACCCAGAAGTCCTTTTGTATCTTGGGGACTGTGTAGCAGACTGTGAATCGTGTTTTCTTGTACATAGTATTAAGGGAACAATTGCATTACCCAGGTGAAGCTCTAAATTAAAATCACTTTTCTTCTTTTCAGATTATTAAAGGAGATGGGCTGGCAGGAAGACAGTGAAAATGATGAAACATGTGCTCCCTTAACTGAGGATGAAATGAGAGAATTCCAAGTTATTAGTGAACAGGTAAGGAAACCTAAGCCTTTTAGATTCACTCTTAAAACAGCCCTTCCTTAAGTAGAACAACCAAATTATAAGTAAACACCATGGTGGTGGGGGCAGCCTAATAGTTTTATTTATTTAGGAATTTATTAGCCATCATACCATAGGCCAGAATTTCCTTTGAGACAAATCTGCAGTGACTTACTGTGTGTACAGTGTCTAGGCAAACAAAATACTTACAATTTTTTTCTTATCTAGACGTTTAATTTGGTTATTGATTTGACATGGGTGACAAGTTTTAATTAACTTCGCCTCTGATCCTTCCCAAAAAGAATATTTAATATTCTAAACAATCTTGTTTTAGGTCTGTATACTTTCCTTTCTGAAAGAGGACTGGGAGACATTTGATAGAGCATCAAAAAGTTATTTTTCTAAATCTATTATAGATTTAAAAAATAGTTCTGGTCAAAGTGAATTTAGTATTTTCCTCATTGTACTTCTAAAATTTGCTTAAAAACATACCACATAAAATTTACTAATTTAACCATCTCCCCTACCCCTACATTCAGCTCAGTGTCTTGCATTCATACTGTTTGACAACCATTACCACCCTCCATTTCCACAATTTTCTTTTCTTTTCTTTTTTTTTTTTTTTTTTTTTTTTTTTTTTTCTTTTGTATTCTAAACACTAACCCAGTACCACAAATGGTAACTTTCTGTTCCTCTAGTCCTGGAAACTACTATTCTGCTTTCTGTCTGTATGAACATGATAGTTTCCCATGCCTCATATCAGTGTAACCATATACTGTTTGTATTTTTGTGATGGTCTTATTTCTCCTGGCATTATACCCTCAAGGTTTGTATATGTAGCACTTCCTGGGATGAGGCTGAGTAGTATTCCATTATTTGCATGTATCGTATATTGTTTATTCATTCATCTGTTAATAGACACTTGGGTTTCTTTTACCTTCTGGCTACTATGAATATTGCTGGTATGAAAATGAATGTAGAAGTTCTTTTTTGATTTTTTGAGACACGGTTTCTCTGTGTAGCTTTGAGCCTTTCCTGGGACTCACTTGGTAGCCCAGGCTGGCCTTGAACTCACAGAGATCCGCCTGCCTCTGCCTCCCGAGCGCTGGGATTAAAGGCGTGCACCACCACCGCCCGGTCTGAATGTAGAAGTTCTTGATTTCATTTTGTGTGTCTACAGTAGAACTGCTACTGAAAAAAAGTTGGCCCCAGGTGATAACTCAGCAGGTCAATGCATTTAACACCAAACCTGACAACCTGACTTTGATCGTAAAAATTCACATGATGGGGTGCTGGGAGGTTGCTTAGCAGTTAAGAGCATTGGCTGCTCCTCCAGAGGACCTGGTTTCAATTCCCAGCACCCACATGGCAGCTCACAACAGCTTATAACTCCATTCCTAGAGGATCCAAAACCCTCACACAGCTTTGAATATAGTTGAGCAGGTGTCCTTATGGTATGATGGAGCAGCCTTTGGGTATATGCCCAAGAGTGGAATAGCTGGTATAGCTATGAAGTAAGCAAATTGTTTTACTTAAATGACCCTAATTCTTCCTCTGTAAAATATGACTAGCATGTTAAATACTATTCAGGGTTCATGAGTGCTAATATAATCTTTGAGACTTTGAAAAATTGTATGAAGTCGATACCACCTTGATGTGTAATAGATAAAAGTTGAAAGATGTGCAAATAGAATTAACAGAAATATTTAAGGAGTGCAATTAAAAAAATATCCAACAGTTTATTATAACATGTGTCCTTAAAAGAAGCAGAAATTTTAAAGTTACTGCTTCATGTACAGTACACTTGCCCAACAAATCAAAATGGTTAGTTCTCTTTCAGTCTTTTCTTAGCTGTCAAAAAGTGGAAGTTTTTTCCTTTAAAAAAAAATGGAAAGAAGAGTAAACTGTTTTTAATATGTAGTTCTATTCCTCGTCTTCTGAGAAATTGCTATATTGGTTTCCAAAGTCCCTGTACAAGTTTGCACTTATACCAGCAATGGAAGACTGTCCCTCTTGTTCCCCTTGCTTCCCATCCAGGACAGCATGAACTGTCACTTTTTTTTTTTCTTTAATCATAGCCATTCTGACAGGTGTAAGGTGGAATCTGAGCCAATTTGATCTGCATTTCCCTGATGTCTAAGAATACTGAATATTTCATTAAGTGTTTCTTGGCCATTTGAGATTTCTCTGTTTAGAGAATTGGGTTATTTGGTTTGTTGATGACTAGTTTCTTGAGTTCTTTACATATTTTGAAAATTAGCCTTCTGTCAGATGTGGAGTTTGTGAAGATCTTTTCCCGTTCCGTAGGCTTCTGTTTTGTCCTAGTGATGGTGTCCTTTGCCTTACAGAAAGAAGCTTTTCAGTTTCATGATGTCCCATTTATTAACTGTTGTTCTTAGTGCCTGCACTATTGGTGTGCTATTTAGGAAGTTGTTTCCTGTGCCAATGTGTTCAAAACTATTCCTTACTTTCTCTTCTATTGGTTCAGTGTGTCTTGATTTATGTTGCGGTCTTTTATTCACTTGCACTTGAGTTTTGTTCAAGGTGATAGATATTTGCATTCTTCTACATGTAGGCATCCAGTTAGACCAGCACCATTTGTTGAAGATGCTTTCTTTTTCCTTTCGGACTCTATTTCTCTTACTGGGTTGCCTTGTCCAGCCTTAATACTGCAACTCAATATGCATGTTTGGTTGATATCCATGGAAGCCCTGCCCTTGGCTGAATAAAAACAAAACAAAACAAAACAAAAACCTAAAAAAACAAAATTTTTAGGACTTGCGAGATGACGGTGGTTAAAGGTGCTAGATACAGCCTGATGACCTGAGTTGGATTCCCAGGACCCACAGGATAGGAGAGAACTGAGCCTATGTATTGTCCTCTATCACATGTGTTTCCCCACATATTCCTTGATGAATATAGGTGGGGTCTGGAGATACAGTTCAGTGTCAAGGTCTTCTTGGAGAAGACCCATGTTAAGTTCCAAATACTCACATGGCAGTAACGGGGTTCCATTACCTCTTTTGACCTCTGGGTACTAGGTGTGTACATGGTGCACAAACATGCTACATATGCACATGCTGTGAAAATAAGTCTTTATAAATAAATGTAATTTAAAGAAGGTTTTAGCAAGACTACTGTTTTCCCAGGGGATATATCATTTTACATTTCCTGCCAACAGTATATATACAAGAAGCGCTCCAGTGTCTCTACATTATTGTTGATACTCGTTATTTTCTGTTTGTATCTTATCTCTTATATAGTATAAGTTGTTAACTCAGTGTTTTTGATTTGCATTTCTCCAATCATTTGTGTCTTAGTTACTTTTCTATTGCTGTGCTAAGACACCATGACCAAGGGCATGCATAGAAGGGAGAGTTTATTTGGGACTTACAGTTTCCCGGGGTTAGAGTCCATGATCAGTATAGTGGGGAGCATGGTGACAGACAGGCATGGATGGCTGCACCGAAACTGTAACTCAGAGCTTAAATCCTAAAGTAGGAGTCAGGGGGAGGGGGAGGGGAGGGGAGAGGAATGGAGAAAGAAGTGGAAATGGTGTAGGCTCTGTGTGGGTATTATTCTCATTCCACTACAGTTAATGAAGTTTGATCATCTTTTTATAGTCTTAATAGCCATTTATATAGCTTCTTTGGGAGTAAATATCTGTTCAAATCCTTTGTGCTCCCTCTTCACTACATGCTGGAGATCATAGCCAGGGCTAATAACCCATGTTAATGCTGCAAGTGTTATATCACTGAGCCATCTCCCCACTCCCTTCCATCCTTGTCCATAAACACACACACACTGTTTTATTCTTCTCTAATACATTACATCCCAACCACAGTTTCTCCTCTTTCCAGTCCCTCCCCTTTTCCCCAGATCAATTCCTCCTGTTTCCAGAGAGAGAGAGAGAGAGAAACATGAATGAACGTGTTCCTGCAGGGCTCCCACTGAACATGGCCTAACAAATAAGACGGCACAAATCCTCATCACAGTTGGAGGAAAAGGGTCCCAATCCCAAGCATAGGCAAAAGAGTCAGTACAACAACTCTAAGATATATACATGCAGAGACCTATTTTGTCTCTGTGTGTGTTTCTGTGAGCCCTGATGAGCCTTGCTTATTAGTTGAGTGTGTGCTGCATGTGCTGCGTTCTTGCAGTGTCCTCGTCCTTTCTGGCTCCTACAGTCCTTCCTTCGCTTCTTTTGCTGGGTTCCCCTGGCTCTACCTAATGTTTGGCTGTGGGTCTTTGCATCTGACACCCATTTGACAGTTGGGGTAGCACTGATCTATGAGTACAGCAGAGTATCATTAGGAATTATTCTTTCTTTTTCT